TAGTTAAACAAAAAAAATTGTGCAGAAATAAAAACTTTAGAAGAGCTATTGAACTAACCAAATAAGGAATTTTTAAATAAATAGAAATAGCCAAGAGTTACAGATTTTCAATATGGCTAGTAAAGGTTATGGACACCAAACACATTTCCAGCCATCTTTCATTCCAACAAACAGGTTTATGGAATAAACCAGGCCATAAATTGGTCCCAAACATTCAGTCATTGGCCTTGGTGGATTCTCCTCCTTGAAAGGAGATCAGATCTTGGAACAAAATATTCCTCTAAGATATATGACCTGGAATATTAGAAGTCCTGGTAATACATTTAGAGTAGGCTTTGACCCAAAAAGTAAAAGGAAGGCAACCGCAAACTCTCAAACATAAATTCCAAAATGTGAACTCTCCTTTAACACAATGAAAAGACCACCTCATATAAATGACATGAGTAGTTGGACCCACTCTGAACTTGTATATCTTTCTTTTAAACAAAAACTCAAACATTTCCAAGGAAAACAAGGTTGATAACATGCAATACTAGATGAAGAAAAACAGATAAATCTTGCTTTGGGGCTCACTTGAACTGAAAGTTCTAAAACCTCTTAAAACAAGTCCTGTTAGCCTTAATTGGATGTTATGCTAGAGATGAGATGACTTTAAAAGAAAAAAATATTTGTTTAAGAAGCCAAATCTTAATGTGAAAATTTTTCTTTTGGTATTTATTATTATATGGTATAGAAATTAATTGCTAGCTAAAGTTTATATTAGTGTAAGTATCAATATTTTTATGGGAGGAAAATTGTGTTTGCAATTAAAAAATCAGAGACTTTAGCTTACTTTCCCTTAGCTCAATTATTATGAAATGAGATGATTAGAATGATCTTCCCAATTCCTGTGAGATAAGATTCTTTGGGGTTATTTATTTTAATTTTGGCAGCCATATCCCTTCAGAATAATACCATAATCTTACTTTTTTTAAGGCACCTCCATAGCAAGACAATTTTATCTTGTTTATCTAATAATTTTATTCAACTCAAAATTTTTATTCAATTCAAAATTTATTAACTTTAAAAAAAAATTAAAGTTTATTGGGTTGACTTCTAAAGAGTGCTTTTATCTTTAGGCTATTTTTTGCTCTTTGGATATAAAGTTGATAAGCCCTTCTTTTAATCCATTGGGATTTAACAAAATATTTATGCTCTTAACGGATTAATGCATCTATAATATTATTCTAGTAATCCATACTATTAACTAGTCTGCAGATTAATTTGTATTTCAGAAAGTAAGAAAGGTCATGAAAGGCCTTTAAATGTTTTTCAGCCACCAATGCAAAGGTTGGCATCACATTTAAGATCATTTAACTGTCTGACTCGTTGCCATCTCAGATAAGCAGCAGTTTTTCCCCTTTGACCTAGGTCTTGGCAAAGGCCTACTACAGTGGTACACAAGACGTTAAAACACAGTATTCTGAAGTGCCTTACTCATCTGGAACTCCTTATGGGGCTAAATTAACTGGCTGAAGACAAACCTAGAGCTCTCAGAGACAGACCTATAGTATTAAATTAAATATATATTTAAATAATTTAGGTCGAAAAGGATTGTTTCCACTAAACAACACACAATACCAGGTCAACCAGCCAAATTAATTTGCTAAAACTATTATTTCAGAGTATTTGAAGGAGAAGAACCGGAAAGAGAAGAAGCAGCTTCTCAAGGTAGTTGTTACATTGTTTAAATTCACTGGACATAAAATAAAGGACCATCATAAAGTACAACTGGGTATAGTCAGTTTTCTAATTTAAAAATAAAATTAATTAATTAATTAATTAATTAATTAATTAATTTTAAAAAGCAGACATTACCTACCACTTGGTGATACAAGACTGCCAATGGTTGCATCATCAGAGTTACTCAATGAAACCTAATATCATCATACAGAAATTAGCAAATGTTCCAGAGAAAAGTTTCTACAGCGCCTTCCTTTTTTGCTCAAACCAGGGATACAGGTAAAGGCCACTAGCAATGCTCCAGTGTCAGAAACTGGGAAAAGCAAGCACATTTTACTTTCTGTGAACCTCAGAAAAAGGATGGGGGAGAAGCCAAGGAAAGAAATCTGCTCAGTTGTTCCCTGGGTCAGTGCTTTTATCCCCAGCATCAACTACTGCCAGTGGAGTGTGCAGAAGGATTTAACTTTTAATGCTTGTCTGTATTTTCACTCTGCTTTGCCTCCACTGATTAAAAGAAAAAAAAAATCCCTGTAACCTTCAAACGATCACCCTGAGAAGATGCTCTCTACTTAGAAAGTTAACCAACCCTCCTTACAAGCTCCCAGTCCATCAGGGAACATCACTAACACCGGAAGTTGAGTAGTTGCTATCTATGTCTTAAAATCTGAATAATTTAGCTCTCTTTACAGCTTTATCACGTAGGGAATAATTATTAGTTGGTAGACTTAAAAATATCATACCTTGCTCTGAGAGAGCATATGATCAGGGCTGAAAAATTGGCCTGGCAGGTTAATTCAGCAGGTAGAGGGGTTTTATTTGGGCTGAATTTGAATTCTTACCATTAGACTACTACACACATTCCAGTCACCTGCTGGGTCTCTAAGGACACATACTTTCATAACCTCTGATTTTCCCAAGAGTATAAGGTGACTGAATTGGAATTCAAATGCCTAAAGCTGGAGTGTAGAGATGAGAGAAAACTTATGAAGTTCACTAGCCATTAAACATGAAAAAGAAAGCCATAGAAGACCATCCACGGTAGATTTAAAAATGGTCCCATTTCTTCAGCCTCCCTATATCGCATGTCTTTCCACTTAATGTTTTCATGTTCTCACTTTGGCTGTTTGACTCTGGACTTGGCCAAGTGACTTAATTTGGCCAATGTGTATTTTAAAAAAATCGTTACAGGGTTGTTTATCTATGCCCCAGCACATATTTTGACACCATTCTTCCAGAGGGCTTGTATTGTAAGGTCAGTTTATGCTCAGCTGTACTCATTCTGGTTCTCTTGAGACAAACAACTCATTGGACGCTTCAGCCATTGAGTCTGTTCTTTTAATATTTCTTTATGTTCTTACTGGATTTGAAAATGTAATCTGTTTGGAGGTTTTTTTTCCCTTCCTCAAGTCCCTAAAGAATGGGTGGTTTGCCCCTCTCCCCATTTTGTAGCTTCCTTTCCAGCTCAGTGTGTGTTTACTGAATGTACTTTTTTCAACCTTTGAAAGTCAAATAGAGACATGTATTCTATACATGTATCATTTTAGAATTTACATTCTATGGTTGCAATCCATTATCAGTACATGACAACTGATATCTTCTATAGTATCATACTAAAATCTTAACAACTGGAGATCTAATTTACCACATGACAAAAATAGCATTTTTGAATTTCACATAACATCAACATTTGGTAAAATGCTGAATGACATAATTTTCCTTGTGATATTAATTTGTTCCTTAAGTTGCTTCTCAGTCTCTTACTCAATAAAACATTCTCACAATGTGACACTCACATCACTGAGCCAATATGAAAGTTCCCATGCATTTCTTACTAGTTTTGTGAGACATATGTTTTGGCTCATCCCTAAAGAACACTTGAGCATGCTAATTTGAGAAAACTACATAATAGGAACATTCCAAATTTGTACTTTACTCATGCATGTTTGGCTTTACTCATGCATGTTTATTATCAGTTATGCCTCACGAAGTGCTATCACCATGTAGCGTCATGTAGTGCAGACTGAGGACATTTTTGATGTTCAAGGTTAAGAGAACAGGTGAATCATAAGGATGAAAGGCCTATTCTTTCTTATCAGCTCAGGGATCTGGTTTGATATGAAGTTGGCCTCCAAGGAAGACAAACAATCCAACAGACCCATCTTCAGTGCAGACCCAGATATTGGAATAGCTGAATACCAGAACTGATCTGGTCTCTTGCATGATATGCCCTTTGACCATTTCCCCAGGGTATGTCATTCCCACTGGGACCTGCCTGGAACCAAAATGAACTGCAGTTATCAATGGATTCAGTGAAGAAACATCTATTGAGCTCCTAATATCTGTCAGACCCTGTGCAGGCCTGGGGGATACAGAAAGGAATAAGACTCAGACCCCGATTTCAAGAAATTCTCACTCTTAGTAGAATAAGTCGACATTTTCCTGAACTGACATTTCACCACTTTTCTGCCGTTTGTTTATGAAAAGCCCAGAAGAATCAGCAGATGTATATTTTTTCCTTCTTCTGTTTTATGTTTTATAATGTATAATAATTTTAATCAAACCTCTTACTTGCCACACATAACACTTTTCACTGTCAAATAAAATATTTCAGTAAAAAAATACCATGGTACTTTGTATTTTACGGTTTGGAGAAAAATCTAGTCATTGACCACACAGTTCAAGCAGGTATGAATTACTACTTATTCTACGTGAAGACTTTTGATTTTAGCACCTCAGGCCTTTTCCGTTCAGCTTAGAAACCATTGATCACTCTCATGTCCACCTTCATCATCATCGCTGTCACTATTCGTGCCAATTCCCATTGCATTTCTACTCTCCCATGTCTTCTTATAGTCAAACCTCATCCTTCATTGAACAGAATGATCTTAGGGAACTTCTGGCCACTACAACATATAAAAAAACTAAACCAACATACCATTCATTTGCAAAGGACTTGGTAACACTGGAATCCAACATAAGCTTAATATGCTATTAATGTTAGTATTGTTGCTATTATTGTCACCATAAATAAGGTGGTGCAAAAAGCATATATTGTGGAACGAAAGGTACTAGACCCACTTCTATGCATAAATTCTTCTAGTTCTAGTATAAAAACACAAAAAAATTTCCGTGGTAAATGAGATAAATTCTTATTACCATATGAATACAGAAATACCTAGCTGGAAAGGCACATATTTAATTCTTTGCACGTTCCTTTTATGCCTCGAACCTGCCACCTCTGGGCCTTACAGAAGCCCCACTTTGGGTACAGGACTTACTTGCTGCTGAGACAACGCCTGAGTGAGTAGGAGGCTCCGCCACCGCAGGTGCGGGAACACTCGCTCCACGGGCCCCAGGCATCCCACAGGCTGTCCCTGTCCTCCTCGGAGCGCGTTGTCCTGGAGCTCTGTAAGAAACAAGAGGGTGGTCAGTACCATGTCCCCGGCACACCCTGAAACATGTGTCCTAAAAGCTGGGTGGCCTGTATGGACATCCATGGTGGCCTGTCTGGGGATGAAAGCGTGCATCCAATTCTTTCTAATTTAATAATGTGTATATGTTTGGGGAGAAGGATGTTTGAGTTTGAGGACCCTGAGCCATACATGAAGGGGGCAAGGGATTGTACTAATAGAGCAAATGGAAAAGGGGGCCAAAAAACAGGAATCTGGGTTAGGGGAAGATAAATTGCAATAGAGTCACAATTTTGCCCAGGGTTCATGGGTCTACTCTGTCTCTTTTGAGAAGAGAGAAGCGAGAAGTGAGAAGAGAGATTTGCTCATTAGAATAACTGCATGAAGTAACTTTAGTAGAGTAGAGGTTGACTTTAGACAGGGAGAAGTGATTGTTATTAACAGTTTTCCTAGTGAAATCCGCATCTACTGTAAGGAAAGTTGTTATGTACAGGCCTCAATGTTGTGCTTCACATTTCTTATAAAGAAGAGTCAAAGATAAAATTTGTGCCACCGTTAAAAGAAAAGGCTCCAGATTTAGAAAGCATCCTGTTTGGATATGGATTCTGTTTTTTTATTATGTGTCCTTCAGCAATTAACTTACCACCTCCTTATAACTTCAAAATCTCTATAAATGGAGATAATGTAACTACGCTACTACATATGTGTGTGCAGGCACGCTCGCGCGCGTGCACACACACACACACACACACACACACACACACACACACCCCCCATATAGGATTAACTAAATGAATTTAGGACTAGTTCCAGAGTAAAGCACTAATAAATATTGCCTATAATTACTATGTTATTATAAATTGAGAATATGTCATGTATGTATACACAATTATGTCAGTCTGCTCAGCTGCAATAAGAAAATACCAGGCTAGGTGGCTTAAACAACAGTAATTCATTTTCTTATGGTTCTAGGTGCTTAAATCCAAGATCAGGGTGCCAGCACGGACAGGTTCTGGTGAGTGCTCTAATCTCAAGTTGGAGAGGGCTCCTTTTCATGGTGCGCTCACATGACCTCCACTTTGCATTGGCATGGAGAGTGAGCAAGTTCACTGGTGTCTTCTGATAAGGGCCCTAATCCCATCATGAGGGTGCCACCCTCATGATCTCCTCTAAACCTAATTATCTCCCAAAGGCCCCATCTCCAAATACCATCATATTCGGGGTTAGGGCTTTAATATATGACTGGGTAGAGGGCGCAATTCAGTCTCCAGCAACAGTTCTACAAATAGCTAATGTAAATTGTGGCTAAATTGTTGTACTGAATAAACCAAATGTGATATCCAAACACTAAAGTTTTCTTCTTGTGTCAATCAAAGACATACTCGTACATATGACAACTATTACAATTCCAAAACTGTTTAGAATGTGCACATTAGCCAATATGCCAATTTCATCTTCAATTTTCTCTCTGAAGAGAGCGTAGGCAGTGTGGGATGCTGGGAGAGCTTGGGGCAGGTAACAGCGGGAGGGTAACCTCTCACAAAGCATTCTGAAAACTTGAGATGATATAAGTAAAGTGACCAGCACCTTGGAGGCTCACAAATAGCTCTTATCATTTTCAAATTAATTTCTCATGCCCTAGTTATACTCAGGGTTGTATCATCCAAACAGGAGGGGCCCCTGAAAAAGGAAAGAACATCTTCTTGCCCCCAGAAAACTATTTATTTTGCAGTAATAGGATTGTTGACAATTCAGTTGCTATGGGGCTCAGTTGTCATATTGATGACTTCTTAGAAGTTTAAATTGGTATAAATTAACTCAGAAATCTGGCCTTCGAGTGCTATATCATGGATTGACTAACAGTGTTGTTTAGATTCTTAAATCATTTGAAAGGGCTATGCTATGGGCATTTGTTAAGAGCAGGGAGCATGGGCCTGTTTAGCCTGGGGTAGAAGACTGGCTGCAGATTGCCCAGCTGAGCTGTCTTTATGCTTCAGGTTTCTTACCATAAAATAGGGATAACAAAAATATTAACATTACTGAGACATTAAGAGGATTAAAATAGTTAATACATAAAAAACTGAAGGCAACAAAGGAATAAGACAAACAAAGAAAGAAACAAAAACTCATAGACACAGATAACATTTTAGTGGTTCCCAGAGGGTAAGCAGGGATGGGGGTGGTAGAAGAGGGTAAAGGGGGGCAAATATATGGTGACGGAAGGAGAACTGACTCTGGGTGGTGAATACATAATGCATATATAGATGATGTATTACAGAACTGTACACTTGAAACCTATGTAGTTTTGTTGACCATTGTCACCCCAATAAACTTTAACAATAAAAAAAACACGCATAAGGTGGGAACAACCCAAATGTCCACTGGTAGCTGAATCGATAAGCAAATTGTGGGCTATACATAGAATGTGGTACATACATAATATTCATCCTGAAAAAGGAAGGAAATTCTGACACATACTACTACATGGATAAACTTTGAGGACATTATGCAAAGTGAAATAAACCAGACACAAAAGGACAAACATATAAGTCCACTTATATGAAGTACCCAGAGCAGTCAAATTCACAGAGACAGAAAGCAGAGGGGTGGTTGCCAGGGGCAGGAGAATGGGGATATATACAAAGTTTCAGTTTGAGACCATGAAAATAATTCTGGGGATGGATGGTCTTGATGGTTGCCAAATGTACTTAATATCACTGAACTGTACACTTAAAAAGATTAAAATAATACATTTTGTTACATGTGTTATACCACAACAAAAATACATATGTACATTTTTAAGAGCTCACAGGGACAAAATAAGCATTTATTTATAAATATTTGTTGCCATTGTTATTGTTATTAATGTTGTATATTATTGACATCATTTATCAACATACATGGGCTCCGAAAGATTCTAGGAGGCACACTGGGAAGGTACGAATGTTTCTTGTGCTGACCTCAGCTGAGGCATTGCATTTGTAAGGTGCCATCTCCCTGAAAACCCTGACTTTCCCACAGCAGAATCTCCCAGCCACTTGTCACACTGCTTGGCCTGGTGATGTGATCTGCCATCATGTTTGAGGTTCCTATAACATGTGGCAAAAAATGAGTAACAGAAACACATTGGTTACTGCAAAGCCTGTCCTTTCTAACTGAAGTATTTCTTGAACTCCAAAGCCTGATTTTTAGGATTACTAAAATCAATGTCTAACCATCGCAAAGTGGGGTACTGTTTCCAGAGCTTAATTAAATAGGGAGACAGAAAAAACTCTCTGCCAATGAAGTATACACACTGAGTCTCTTCTCCATACACCCATTAAATTCATTGCTTAGATTTTTAAAAAGTGTATGGTGCATCTCTGATTCCCTTTGTGTTTGCTCTGTGTGATTGGAAGATGGTTCTGTTGAGAGTACTTGTCCAATGCAGTAACTGTTTGTGTGACAAACATACACTGTACAATGCAATTTCCCTCATTTTATTAAAATTAACTGTGACAGAATGAAAACCAACATCTCAAATGCTAGGATTCATGAAGTAATTAAAATGAACAAGATGAGTGATACTATCCAATTACTACAACTGCAAAAAAGAAAGAAAGAAAAAGTCCACATGTGGCATTCACATGTGAACTCTATTTCCATGTGAGATAAGAACACCAGGATGCCAAATCCTTGGGAGGTTTCTTTCTGGCTGCTCTCTGGATAAGATATTTAGGAAGTAATGTATAACTGAGATTTTGTTTTTCTAGAGAAGCAAATTGTTTCAAACTCTGTGCTAAGGTTGCTTGATATTTTTCATGTGCCTTGTCTAAAGAGACACTAAAATGGCTCTAAGGTGAGGTTTCACTGACTAAACATCTTACCTCATCATAAGTTACAAGTTTCAGCACAACCGGGCATATCGAGTGAGTGCCCACATTTCTCTGAAAGAGCTTGCGCGCTAACCCAGAAGCGAGTCATGGACTATTTCTTAAACGGGAACAAGCAGTTCATTCCAACTCAATCCATCTTTAATGTTAGAATAAAGTGATTTTTCTCCTTTTTAACTGTATCAGATTTTTACCTCTATAACCAAAAATGACATTTCAGCAATGTCTTAAGGACATTTAAGACCTAGAAGTATTTGCTGATTATAATTTTTAAGAGGGCCTTCAACATAAACAACTTTTGTGCCTGGTCCAGGTGGGATCCATGCATACTTCTCTCTTACTTTTGAATGTGCAGCCCACTTCACTCCACAGAATTTTTTTTAAAGGGTAAAATTTGAATTGCATCTAACAAAAGAAATGGAGGCAGAAGGAAATAGAAATAATGAGTTGCATAAAAGAAATGATGTTTGCTTCTGAAATCAGAATTCTAAGCTTTTCTAATATTTCCCAGCCAATGTTTCTCATTTAATTTCAATCACATCAAACTAATATTTTGATCTCAATATCTGAGAAACAAGGTCATGAATACTATAAAAACACAGTGATCAAGAGATTATCCCTGACCCCACTGCTGGGAATTTCAGTGACAGTATCAGGTGAAAGGATGGTCTCCAGCTATTAACTAATTAAGAACCATGAAATTCTGTATGTAAGCCAATGTTTCACCAGTAGGAGATTTATCAGAAAAGATCCAAACTGCATCTGATATTGAACTTGATGGGAAAAGTCCATTATAAGTCCCATTCTTATTGCAGCACTAATTTTACTTCATAGTCATTGGATGGGTTAGAATGGACAATTGGCACCTCTTTTGCACCAGCGTTTTAGAAATCCAGTAAACATTGAGAGAAGAAAGGCCTGTGTCTTGGTTCTATAATCCTATGAAAATTAAATTGAATATTTCCCTTGAGTTATTCAATTTAGAAAAAGTCTAGCTATTTCTAGACCTTTGGTGCCACATGATGATCTTTGAATGTAGCACTGATGATGACTCCTAAGTCAACTACTTGTTGAAAACTCATCCACCAACTCCCCAGTTACATCCATCCATTGCTCCCGGTCAG